ATATTGTTTTGGCTAAAAATAAATAATATGATAAATAAAAAAATATAAAACATAATAATAATAAATTTTATATAATTTGGTCGTTCATTTGTTTCAATTATTTAACTAAAAAGTTCGATATCGAATTGAAATAACCGAGCTTTTAAAAGTAAATCAAGGCAATTGAATTGAATTATAAAAGTTCGAATTGAAAATTTTAGTCCGGTTGGCTTCGATCAATATTGTGCAATCTAATAGATATTAAGGTGCAATTCATATAACAATAATGTGCAATCGCATTACATAAAATTTATAAAAATAATAATAATATTTTTTCATATTGATCAATATTGTGCAATCTAATAGATATTAAGGTGCAATTCATATAACTATAATGTGCAATCGCGTTACAAAAAAATTATAAAAATAATATATTTTTTCATATTGTTCGGCCTGATCGGTTTTTTGATTATTTTAAAAATTAGGTCGCCAATCAAACTGAAATGCTTGTGATTTACAAGTGATGATAATCGAACAAACATATAAATTTTTTTAAGCGACAATTTCAGTTTGGTGATTTTGAATCTATCGTGCAATTCGATAGTCGTGATAAAGTGCAACGTGATACTGTGTAACGTGCAACGTGTTGTTATATAAAGTGCAACGCGTTGATTTATAAAGTGCAATGTGTTGATGTATAAGTGAAATGGTGTAGTTTTGGTACATTAGCATGCTCGTGTTTTATGTGCATAAACGATTTGATTGATGTTAAAGTAATTTGTGTATTCGTTTTTTAGATTTATGTGTATCTATTTTTTATCCGTTGATTGTGAAGTGTGTTGATAAAGTGCAACGAGTCGTTTTATAAAGTGCAACGAGATGTTTTACAAAGTGCATCATACTGATATATAAAGTGTATTGTTTTATATGATCTCATGTAAATTATGTGTTTTTTAAAACTATATTTAGTAGATATAATTATACATCAAATGAACATAAATAATTGAGGATTTTTTTTATTTTATTTTTGTGTGTACTGAAATAATTTAGTTATTTGGTTGGTTAAAATTAGTTTATTATTTATGTTATAAATATATATTTTACATTTTATCATTTTTATTTAATACTTTATATTATTTTTTATTTAAAATACAGAACTTATATATGTATAAAAAATATATAAACACTATACTATGTGTGTTATTCATCATTAACTAGTGTGTACCCCGTGCGATGCACGGAAACAATATTAAATTAACAATATTATAAATAGACCTCGAGTTTGAGTCACTCAACGACGGAATTGGAAACTACTATTGATCCTATTTAAAAATAGAAAGAAAAGATAATTATAAATTAAAGATTTGGGGTCAAACATTGTAAAATTATTTTGTATTAGACAATATAAAAAAATTTGATTACACACCATTTCAAAATTATTATTATACTTTTTTGTATAGTTAGCTTATAATATTTGTAAAAATATTAGTAATTAGACCGATGAAAAATAGCTTTTTAAAGTAGATAATGGATTTTTAGTAGTAATTATGAATTGGTTTCTATTTTTTTTTATTTTTTTTTAAAGATAATGGATTTCTAGTAGTAATTATGAATTGGTTTCTATTTTATTTTATTTTTTCAAATCTGTATAGATAAGGGATGAGATTTTTTAAACACGTGAGACGTATGCTAAAAATGTTTATAACAGAAGAGATAAGCTCGTGTAGATTTATAGTAAAAATAGGAAAAAGAAAAACAAATATTTATTGTCAAACAACGGTTTTGATAAACTAAAAAAAAAGAAAAAGAGAAACAAATCTTTACACAATTAATGGGCTGATTTTTTTGCCTATTCAGATTTGTCCAACAATTACTATATGTAGGATATATTTAATGATTTTGGCGGGAAAAAGTTTCTAAATTTGTAAAAAGGTTATTTTTTTTATATAATGATAGATGTGGGCACAATTTTGAATGTACATCCCGTTCAAATATCAGTTTTATTTTAAAATAAAAATTACACGCAGTTTTAACCAATTTACACACTTTTTTTTTAAAGAAAAAATTATTAATTAAAATTGGAAGAATTGGTTAAAATTTATACAACTATTTGTTTCGTAAATTTGTATCCAATTTGCACGGTTTCTAAATTGATTTGTATTTAAAAAAATTTTCATAAATAATTGACATATTTTTTGCATAAGAATCTCTAAATTTGTTACCGAAAAAGATATGATTTAAATTTTGGTAAAAAAATAAAATATGATACGAAAAAAATGGGATTCAAATTTTGCCATAAGAATCTCCAAATTTGTTACCGAAAAAATAGGATTCAGATTTTGTTTCTAAAGATTTACATGTGTTTTTTCAAACTTTCCATTAATAGTAAGTCAAACATTATATTTATTTGGTCAAACTTTCTATTGATGTATTTATCCAACAACCTCTTTATATATATATAGATATGAAATTTATTAAATTTTATGTAAGTCACATATTTTCCCCATAAAATAAATAAAAATTAAAACAACATTTTTAAAGTTGCAAATGACTCCCCAACCTAATTTTTAAACAAAAAGCCAAATCTCATTCAGCTACCAACATTCCCATCATTGATATGAATTTTATTACATTTTATGTAAATCACGTCTTTTCCCAATAAAATAAATTTCAAATTGAAACAACATTCTTCAAATTGCAAATGCGTCCTTAAAGATGATCTAATTTTCAAACAAAAAGCCCAAATCTCATTTACACTTTCCCAACCACGAACAACCATCAACTATTTCCCGTCGGCCGACCTGTAGAGAGATGAAAGCCGGTTGGGCCTATGGATACATGGCGGCTGCGAGGGCGGACATTGTCGACCGCTGCTCGTGAAGGATCTTCCCGATCTGTGAATTTTCAGGCACCGACGGAGTGTGCGCTTGTGTACGACGGCGATCCGAGATAGGCGAACGGTTGTTGCTGCTTGTGTGTATGTAGAGCAAGCTGCGAACGGCGGCGTGTGTTCAAGCTCCGGCGACCGGCGACGTTGGTGAGCGGCAAACGGAGGTGTGTGGTCCTGCACGTGTGTCCACCTTTCAGAGGCAGTGGCTAGCAGCGACGGAGATCTGCATCTGCTCGGCGGTTGTGGCGGCGCTGCGTGGTGGTGGTCGGACGGTAGCCGACTGTGTGCGTACGTCTGTGTTGAACTTTGTGTGTGTGTGTGTGTGTGAGAGAGAGAGAGAGAGAGAGATTAGTTAGGTGAGGAGACTAAGTGGCTTTGACTCACGTGGGTGTGGGGAGTTCTGTTATGTGGGTCCCATTGTTTGTATGTGAAAATTACCGCATTACCCTTAATGAATATACAATTTTAACTTTTTTCTGCCCATTAGATCATCCGATCTAATGGCTATGATTTATTCTCATTTCTCGCATTAAGAGTCATTCTCACCGGAGCGTGACCCTAAATAAATAAATAAATAAATATATATATATATATATATATATATATATATATATATATATATATTACCATACTTATCAAAACAGCATCTATATTTAATTAAAAGAGATAGAAACAATATATCTTCCCTTTTCAAGTCTTTTACTTCCAAGAACATTAAGATATAATTTTAAGGCTCGTGCCAAAAATAAATCTTACACAGTTTTTCTATCACTTTTATGAATCTATGCTTATATTAAAAGGTATACTATTTACCGGATTTAATATAAAGAAAAGTCAACAACATTTATTGCATTACTATTTCCGTATTATATATACAATCTATACTTATATAAAAGGAGATTCTATTTACAACATTTACTATCCAAAAAAGTCAACTGCATTAAATGTCATTACTATTTTAGTATTATAATATTTTATTTATTTAATTGATTTATTTATTTGTTTTATTTTAAAAAGGTAAGTATAATAAAATGATTTTAATAATAAAAAAATCAAATACAAAATAAAAATTTACACTTTGACTTATTTGATTATATTTGGTATTTTATTATACCAAATATATTCCTATTTAGTATATACATTAAATACTTACTAAAGTATTTATTTGTTTTATTTGTCAAAGTTAAGTATAGATTTGTTTATATTATCAAATCATAAAAAAATATTAAATCCATATTGTAAAAAAAAAAAATCATATAATTTTATAATAATTCTACTATACTATTTAACAATATTTATTTTTTATTATATAATAAAATAATAATTAAATATTATATGGTGAACAACAATAAGTAAAACTGTTACTTTCTCTTATATCAAGGGATAAATTTATATGCTAAAATTAAATTTTTATTAGTATAAATATTTTAGTGAGATAATATATTAATTATTTTACAAGCTAGCCCTAACATGCTCATATTTAATGTTTTAAAAGATGTAGAAAAAAAACTTATAATAACTCTATTGTTTTTTAGATTTAAACGTTGATTAAAAGAGGTAAAAATTCCTAATTTTTTAGACTTAAACGTTGATTAATTTTTGCTATATTTTAGAATATTTTAAATTCATTATAAAAAGAAAAAGAAAAAAAAACTACAATGAAAAAAGCAAGTAAGCTATATATCGATTTGTTGTACTCCTCAAATCACAGATTTGTTGTACTCATCAAATCACATTCACAATTTTGCTACAAGGAAAGGAAACCCATTGATTAAAATATTGTTTTGTCAGTAGTTTTAATGTATAAGAGACTTTAAGACTCCACTTGAATATTATAAAACTTAAAACTTTTATTGAACATTGTACAATTTTCTTGCGTATTATACACTTTTATTGAATATTGCATCTTATAATATAATATTCTCCAAATAAATATATCTCGTGCTTCGCACGGGTCACGTACTATATATATCCCGTACATTTTTCTTTATTCATGTATATAATTATAAGTTTGGATAATTTGCCTTAAAATTGTGCACCCCGTACATTGCACGGACTCTGTACTAGTTTAAAATATAGGCGGACTCTTGTATAAATATAGCACGGGCTCTGTACTAGTTTAAAAAAGCCTATGGACCCTCGATTTGGTTAGCAACAAACTCAGTGGGAATATTCCTGCCCAGATTGGGCAACTCAAGTCCCTCCAATTCCTTTTGCTCAGCAACAACATGCTGACAGGGACTCTTCAAACTCCATCTCCAACCTCCAAAATCTGGTAATAGTGCGTCTCGACGGAAATAATTTTAAGGGAAATATTCCGGATGGTTTTGGCGCACTTAAGCAGCTCGAGTTCTTAAGCCTGAGCAGGAATCAACTCACCGGCAAAATCCCATCCACATGGGCCCTCAACTCACGCATCACCGATTTTCTCATCAATGATAACCAAATATCTGGGAATATTCCATCCGATCTAGGGAATCTCAAGGAACTGCGTGTTCTCAACTTGAGCTCCAACAGCTTTTTTATCTGAACCAGCTTTTTTATCTCGATATTAGCAACAACCATTTGAGCGGAAAAATCCCTGGGGAGGTCGGGCAACTAACAACACTCCAGTTTCTTCATCTGTCACATAATAAATTGGCGGGGAATGTTCCAGAGGAAATCGGGAATCTGAATCGCTTGCTGAGCTTGAACTTGGGCTATAACCGTTTAAAAGGTGAAGTACCGGATTCAATTGGCAACTTGAATAGTGCCGAGTATTTGATAGACCTGAGTAATAATTTGCTGTCGGGGGCCATCAAGCCGTCATTTGGAGGGCTGACCAACTTGGAAAGGCTGGACCTGTCGCGCAACAAATTTACGGGCACAATTCCAGCAAATGTGTGCGAAATGGTTGCTATAATCGATATCGATTTTTCTAGCAACAAGTTTTCGGGAGTGGTGCCCAAGCCGGATGGTCTTTATGAACACGCTAGTTGCAAAATACGTTAATATTATTGTTGTCATCTTCTCTCATACCTAGCTTGTGTTTGTGCAATAAAGAGTTTTCTCAAACCTAATAGTGCTTGCTTCAGCAGTTGTACTTCCTCATGCTCATGCATCAATAAATTTTCAAGCTTTTCAATTGTCTCTCCCTCTGTTTTTGTTATATTCCTTGTTAATCTTTTTTAGTTTCTTTAGTCTGGTGGTAACTTATATTAAAATAAGGAAACCATTACACCATGGACTGTAGCCGCCCTCATAAATAAGAGTGGGATAAAAATGTTATGAAATATAGAGACACGATCACAGGGTGATTTATTTATTTGAAAAAAAAAATGGACAAAAATCAAAAGTACGTATTCTTGGAATACGTTTTTCTAATAAAATTTTATTAGAAAAACGTATTTCGATAATACGTTTTTCAAATAATTTTGTAAAATTAAAAATAAAATTATTTTCCGTTTTAAAAGTCGAATTCAATTAAAATTAGTAATTATAAAACGTATTTTAAAAATATGTTTATAAAAACCCCAAAATTGAATTTTAGGGTTTTATAAAACGTATTTGTTGAATACGTTTTGTATTAAATGATTTAAAAAAGAAAACTATTAAAAACGTATTCTAGAAATACGTTTAAAATTTAAATTTACAAAAAAAAATAATTTGTAGAACGTATTCTCAGAATACGTTTTACAATTAAATAAAAGTNCGCGAATCGACAACAACGACACGAACCTCATTTCCGGTTAATTCATTTGCACAAGGTATATTGGCTTATCTCAACTTTTTACATTGTTTGGAGTTGTTTGGAGATTGGGAATTGTTATAGTATGTTTGGATGTGGTGGTGTTTGAAGATTGAGAATTGTTAATTGTTTATCAATTGTGTGTGTATGTTGAATTGGAGATTGGAATTTTGTTGTAAATTGTCAATTGTGTATTGGTTGGTTGTTGTTGGGCTTAGGGTTTTCGAAATTAGGGTTAGAATTAGGGCTAGAATTAGGGCTTTCAATTTATTCGAAATATAGATGAATTGTATGTTATTGTTGGATTATGGGTATTAAGGTTTTGGAGGATTATTTGATTGGAAATATTTATTTTGGTTTTTTTGTTGGAGTAAAAAAAATGTTTTTTCAATTTAGAATGGTAAAAGAATAATTGAAATTTTTTGGGTGTTGAATTAGACATTATGTGTTGTTGTAATTTGGAAGAATTAAAAGTGTTTTTTTGCAACAGGTATAAATGGCGTATTCCGGTCCATACCTTGTTAATCTGTACGGGCATTTTGCGAGGGAAAAGTTAAGTGAATTTGTTTTTATTTAAAGATCGTTTGATGGTTCATTTCTTATTCCGAAGAGGATATCATATGAACAATTGGTAGAAATGATTAATGAAAATTGTCGGTTTGGAGAAGGTTGGACAATGTAGGAGATTACTTTAATAGTTTGCCAACCCGGTAGTTCGTTGAATTTCTTAAGACTCAATAACGATAGTGTTCTTCAGTATATTTATTACCTTCCTCCTATGTCCATGGTGTATTTGCATTTATTGTTGGAGGCAATTACACCGGTTACACAGGTTGAGCATGTGTGGGGATGTTACGGGGGAGTGGTTGATGTTGAGGGTACGTCGACTTCGCATCTACGTAATTTTGGAGAATGGACAAGCTCAACAATGCAATGGAAAAATGAGAACTGGGAAGAAGAAGAAGGCGATGAAGATTTCATTCCTGGTGAAGATGATTTCACAAATGAGACCTCCGAAAGAGAATCAGACAGATCGATAAATGAGGAGAGTGAACCCGAATTGATTGAAGAAGAAGATCCTCTTCCTAGTGGTGGTCGCCACATTTATCGTGAGATGGGTGAATGGGAGCCATCGAAGATAGATGAGAACGAGTATGCTCTTCCAGTTTGGAAGGGCGACATTGAGACCATATGTTTGAGTACAGTTTTTAGGAGCAAGGAAGAAGCACAATCGGGTATATTGGCTTGGAACGTTGATAGGTTGAGGGCGGTTCGGACAATAGATTCTAATCAAAAGTCATACAAAGTGGTCTGCAAATCTAATGAAGTTGAACCTTGTGTGTAGGCTCAGGTGACTAAGAAACGGATTCATGAAATGTGGGAATTAACTTAATAGATTGACAGACACACTTGTATGCAACGGGTCGAGAGAAATGACCACAGAAACGTAACCGCCCGTATGATTTCAAATCTTGTAATTAACAAGATTGAAAAGAAACTGGACTACAACGTTAGCATGATCCAGGCCAATGTGAAACAGTGCTGGAAAGTCGATGTCAGCTACAAGAAGGCGTGGGACGGAAGGAGAAAAGCCATCGAGCGTGTGTATGGCTGTTGGGAATCGAACTTCGCAGAACTCCCTCGGTAAGCAAAAATTAATTACAAATACATGTGTTGTTTGTCTGTCACTATGTTTATCTACTTATGAAACCGTTTTGTAATTTGCATGTTTTTTTCCGTGCTTCAAAGAGCGAATCCCACCACAGTTGTACAGTGGGAATGGCAAAGTAAGGAAATGGTGCATCAGTATCAAGACAGATAGTTCAAATTTGTATTCTAGGCGTTTGGTCCCGCCATTCAAACCTTCCAGAGATGTCCGCCGGTCATTACCATCGATGGCACACATTTGCGCGGATCGTACAAGGGAAAATTGCTTGTGGCTATAGCACAGACAACAATAAACGGCTATTGCCAATCGCCTATGCGATTGTTGATGAAGAAAGCAAGGATAGTTGGTCATTTTTCCTGAAAAATGTGCGGCAATATGTTGTTTTTGACCAACAGATCTGTGTTCTCTCCGACAGGGATAACGGCATACTCAGTGCCATTGAGTCGTTGGTGTATTGGCTAGAACCCGCTGCATATCACCGAATTTGCCTTCGATACCTTCGAAGCAACGTGGTCACTAACTTTAAGAATAGGAAAGTGCGGGATTGGTGTTGGTATTAGGGTTCGCAGTTGTTGGAGCGAAAGTTTCGAGAGACAGAACAACGACTGTTGGAATTTAATCCCCAGGCACACAAGTACCTTTTCGATATTCCTTTGAACAAGTGGACCTTGTATGGAGATGAAGGAAGACATAGATGGGGCACATTGACGACCAATATGTCTGAGAGCTACAACAATGTATTGAAAGGCGTTAGGTTCCTGCCGTGCAGAGCTTTAGTACAGGCCACGTTGGACAAAACTCTGAATGTGTTCGAACAGGAACAAAAGAAGGCCACGAGATGCATGAGTCCCATTGCTACTCAGCACTATATCGTCTATTTGGAATTGGAGAAGACAGCCGCAACCCATACTGTGAAATGTGTGAACGCCGAAAGGTCCAGGTACAAGGTGCGAACCGGTTAGGGCTACTGGAAGAGGGCAAAATAGGTATATGAATTCTTTACTTTTTTTTTCCATTGAAATTTTTGAATTTTTATATATATAAATCACTGTTTGTGTTAACAGCTATAAGGTTAATTACCCTCGAAAACGTTGTAGTTGTCTGAAGTGGCAGACACATAAGAAACCGTGCTCTCATGCAATAGCTGTAGCTCGTCAAATCGGGACTGATCCAAAGTCGTTGTATGATAATGCATTTTGGATGGAGACCTGGGTAGATCAGTTTACTAATTGCGGTTTTGCTCCAATTGGTACTGCGGATACATGGGCGCCGGTGGGATAAAATTTGATACCACATTGAGAGAGGATAATCTTGAAGCCTGGACCCGGTCGCAACGAAACGAGACGCTATCGCATGCAAATGGATCGTCGGGCGCGCCGCAGGAATGTTAGGGGACAGTGTTCAAGATGTGGTATTCCCGATCATGTTGTGGATGAGTGTCTGTCCTCACATCCTCGCACCGATAGGTCTAGACTTCGTGATGAGTGAGGGAACTAGATTTGTTAGTGTTTATTCGGATTTGTTTGGAGGGTTCATTTGGATTTGGTTGGATTGTTATTTTGTTTTGTTTGGATGATTTATTTTATTTGAATTTGTTTGGATGATTTATTTGGAATTGTTTGGATGGTATTTACGGTTGATTAGTTGATTTGTTACTTTAATTTTGGTTTAGTTGGTTGTTTTGAATATTTAAAACAGGTATTTTTTTGTTAAAGAATGGAAAAACCAATTTTTTTTTTAACTTGCAGTTTAAAACGTATTATAATAATACGTTTTTTAAAAAAATATATAAAAAACGTATTCTTAGAATACGTTTTACGAGAATACGTTTTACATAAAAATAAAAATAAAAATATAGTATATAGTATATATATATAGCATATAGTATATAAGATATAGTATATAGTATATAGTATATAACATATAACATATAGTATATAATATATAACATATAACATATAACATATAACATATAGTATGTAATATATAACATATAGTATATAGTATATAGTATATAACATATAACATATAACATATAACATATAGTATATAGTATATAATATATAGTATATAACATATAGTATATA